ATATGAAGTGTAAAAGTGGGTAAAGAGCCGCCTGAAAGGGGCATGGTAATTGCTTCAGCTGAAAGGGGATGTGTGAGACTGAAGGGGGTTCACCAGTACAGTTCCTTGAGTTTCTGCCTCAAAAATTATTCCTCTTAACATTTGCATTAATGATCTTGGCACAAAAAGCAGGAGAATGCAAAGGGAATTTGCTGATGAGGCAAAACGAGATGCTATCATCAATCTGGAAGAGGCCAGGATACCACACAGAAAGATTACAATGACCTTGAGGACTGGAATAATGGAGAAGGGATTTGATTCAGCAGTGCAGACTGTACGGTCATGCTGTTGGGGACAAGGGATAAGAGCAGCAGCCATTCCAGTTTGGGAGGGTGTCAGGTGGAAATGTCTGGGGCAAGGAAAGACCCATGCTACAAATCACAACACCGTGACAAGACCCTGGTGTTAGGCGACATGAGAAGAGTCAAATGCAAAGAGCTTGGGTTGAGGGGTTAGGAAAATGAGGGACTGATCCATGTGAATGAATCAGAGGCAACACCAGGGGTAGAAAAGAGGTGTAGTGGACACCACCGGTGTAAGGACATATGGCTAGAAACTGGCTGGGAATACAAATAGATGGGAAATCAGACTTATACATAGAAGTAGTTTCTCATGCAGGTTTCTGACCCAAGCAGGGCAGATAAAAAACAACCACTCAGTTGGATGTCAGTCCCACTGCACAACCAGCATGCTTGAGAAACCAGTCAAATTAGAGGCTGGATCTTCCTTCTCAATTTGAACTGGTTTGTCTTTACAAGGGCCTATTCACAGAGGCGTTTTAGACTCCTCTTTTAAAAGGTGTCACTAACCACAATGTGGTTTTCTAATCAAATGTTCTACAAGGCTGTACAAACGTCACCGGCCCTGGCAGGCAGCAGCTGCCTGCTCTCTTATTCCCAGGACAAATGCTAGATTCACTTGTTTCCCTCCAGACTGGAGGTAGCTTCAGCGGTTGTGGGTTTTTGGTATGTGATCTTGGCTCTGAGCAACCTGATCTGATTAAAGATGTCCCTGCTCCCTGCAGGGGGGCCGGACTAGATGGCCTCTAAAAGTCCCTTCCAACCCAAAACATTCTATGATTTTATGATAACAGCTTTGCTCTGAAACCCCTCTGACTTGCTCAGCTCAACCATTCGGTCTGGAATCACTGAATAACAGCTATTCTTACAAATTTCCACCAGATTATCCTTTTTGGACACTCCCATCTCTAGCGGCTCCTCTTTCTCTGTCCTGAAGGAGCAGGACTGCGGCAGAGTCTCTCGTAGCACAGACAGCCCCATCTCCTGAGATGACTATGTGCTGCTTCTGCTCCCCAGGATTGAATTTAGTTTTGCAGTTGCAACCTTTTACTCTTCACAGTCCCTGTGTTTACCCATCCCAGCTCGCTGCCCTTGCTGCCACATCCCAGGGACCATGGTCAACCCTTCACTGCAGTACCTAAGCACATCAAATCTCCTTTGGGATCATCAGAGGTTTCTACTTCTCTCTTTTTGGTTTCCTCTCCATACTTGTCTCTGATCACCTCCTGCGAGTCTCTCAGAGCTTCCTGGACTGCTTTTCTGCTGAGTCAAAAGATTTTTATAACACTATTTTAAAATTTCAGGCTTTTTCTATTGACTTCCTCTTTATCTGGAATCTCCCTTTCAAAGTTACTGGCACAAGACTATTTCTGGGGTCAGCTTGCGTCCCTTTCCTCTTATTCCTTTTAACCACCAGACATAGGACTGAATCACACTGTAAGCAGGATTATTCGATGGTCCCTCCAGGTCTCAGTTCTATCCCCCCCAGTCTGTGAACCCCAGCACCCCCCACTCCCATGGCCCAGCCACAGAGCCATCTCTTTGGACAGTCTCTTCCACTTTTCAGCTGAAGAGGGTTGATTTTTCCTTCTGTGAATTCCCCAGTGAGAGCATAGAGGTTTATGGCCCGGCAGGTAACAAACTGCTACAACTTGGCTTTGCTTTTAGGACCAAGTTTAGAGTCATGGCAACCATTAGCCCTTTACTAATCCTTGTAAGAGACAGCTCCTGCAGACTTCTTTACCTTAACCCTGCTGGGTGACATTCAGCATGACAAAGCCTTCTCCTCCCAGGAGAGGCATTGCTCCTAATCCAAGGTGGTCTTTGGTGTGAAAACTACTTTCTACCCCAGTCTAAACACCTCAGTGCAGTCCCAGGGGTGGGCTCCCCTCTGTGCCCAGAGCCTCTCCAAAAAGCTGACCTTGCTACCCATGAAAATGCCTTGCAGGACAATGGAAAGGAGACCAAAGAGTGCAGAGAACCAGAAATAACACCACATAACTGAGTCTTGACTCTGAGCCTGTCTTTTGTCCATGGAGCTGTGTGAAAACAGTTTGACCTGTGATTTTTGCCACCAAGGACTCATCACAGCTGTCCCCACACCAGGACCATGTCCCCACCACACTCCCCATCACCAAGAGCAGCAGTCTGAGAGCACATGTGCCAATGGCAAATTAAGGGTGCTAGCCTAGTGCCCCACACACGCTCCTGAGGTTTGAGCACAAGTGCCAGGGATGCTCTGTGACGGACACAAGAAGTTGGCGGCTGCCTCCAGCAACAGAGAACAAATATCTCAGGCACAAGAGACAACAGTAGGCCTCACTGGCTCAGAGCGCACAAGGCTAGAGAGAAGTGAGGTAGCGACATGGTGACATGCAGGGATGACAACCTGTTTGCAACAAAGAGGAAGCAGCCTGCTTGTGCGTAAATCTGCAACAGCAGCCCCTGAAGGCAGGATGTGAGCTCACCATGCTGCTGGTGACTGGACTCCTTAGCAGCAGCACAGGGAGGAAAAGGTCAAGAGCAGATGAATCAGGGGTCAGCCACATGCACTGTGGTGCCCACCTTCCAGGGCCAGGTTAACCCTGGACCCAGGCTGGGTGAATATGAACTTGCTGGTCTTTGAGAGATAGGTCCAGGGAGAGGACATGCTGTTTCTAAGGCCTACAGCATTTGCTCGCTCCCACGGCTCAGAGCAGGAGCACCCTGCTGAGCAAGAATACAAAGTTTCCCATCTAATGTTTTTATGACAGCAGGGAGAGCCCCCTTGGGGCTAGAGCAAGTGGTTTTTCAGAGAAACACAGAAAGTAGGGCTGGAGAGAGTCATCAACTTTCACACAAAAGATCAACACTGACTGTGTCACTCCAGGTACAGACTTCCTCGCTCTCCAGCTGATCTTGCTAGCACTTCCCTCACTGCTGCAATGTTTTTTTCTTCCATTTTTTGCTGCAGCTTGAGACCAGAATATCATGTCTTATCCTGCATGAAAACAAAGGATTAATGTGTTCTTTCCTCCTTGCAGTGACCCTTGTAGGCTGTTCTCAGGCCTCTCCCACCCTCTTTAGACTACACACCACTATTCTTCCACGCTCTGCACATTTAACAAGCCTATGCTTGTTTCAGATAGCATTAATGAAAATATCACATAGCACTGGACTGGTGGGGTCCCACATACTTCTGGCAGTCATGGATGAAATCCACTCAGAAGGCCATTTTCACACTCTGATGATGACAATGATGTGTCAGAACTATTACAGGATTTTTTTTTTTGTAATATGGGGAGCTAGCTCATACCCACGGGACTGAGCTGTTTGTGCAATAATCACTTCTCAGAGTATAGTCCTTGCACATTTTAAATCCCCATCAAAAATTATGTCAGGTTAAACTCTAGGAAGAGAATATGAGCAAGTTCAGGCTAGTGTGGGAACACACAAATTGGCAGATATTCCCAAGGAGCAATGCAGGGTTTCCGAGCCAGGTCTTTCTGAGCTGTGGTAGAGCATGTCCGAGCTGTGCGGCAGAGCGGCATTGCAGCACCATCTGCTGCCAGCTGCCTGCAGTTCCACAGGTCTTCACCATAGTCAGCTGTAGGTTGGGCTTCAAATGTTCAGAGGCTGACAGTATCATCAGATAAATACCTCACTCTTCAGGGTGACAAATCTTGCAGTTACTGATTAGAACAAGATATGTGTTCTCTTTCCTGCTTCGGGGGAAACCAGGGCTCATGCTTCTCATACTTTCTTCAACTGAAAGACAATCTCACCTCCTCAATACATGCGTAGCTGCTTGTTTTAAGAAGTGGTCAAGACTGCAAGTGAGTATGAGCATCAGAAACGCCAATATACAAGGTATAATTGCCACAAATATTTATAATGCCTGGGTGGCACTTTATTTGCAGGGCCCTTCCAGCAACAGCCTAGTACATCTGACTTCATCTGTGGTTGTGCCAGCATTTCTCCACCAGATCCCAGCTCCTCTTGCCCCATCTAATCTTCCAAATAGCCATACAAGTACACAGGAACATGGTGCTGCACATGAGCAATGCACAGCAAGAATACCTGCAAGCCAGCAGGCTGAGAACAGCTTGTGGAGATGGGCTCCATTTTTAAGCTGGCAGCAGTGTGACCCTGTCCTTTTTTTCATTGTGATATTCAGGACTAAGTCCAAAGATATAAATCAGTCACGCATGTGGAGCAGTTCTCTTCTATGCCCTCTACCATGATGCAGCTGAGATACAACAGCAAAAGGAAGCCCCAGCACATGGCAGAATGAGGGTACAAGCTTAGTTATCTGTGGCAATACACACACACAAAAAGAGGAAACAGGAAAAGAAGAAGCAGGGAAATACCACCACTCCTCACCACCCACAAATCCAAGAATGCCGTGTTCAGAGTTGTTTTGTACTGTTTTCCTCTAGGACAGTTTCCTATCTCACCACTGTCCAAGTTCTGGCCAATGACACCTTCCCAACCCTGGGACCTTGCCAGCATTTGCCTCTTCAAGTCCAACACCTCTGACAGCTTCTCCATCTCACACACAAGGCTTTTCCCAGACAGATCAGAAATTACGCATGTAATAGCCAATAGTCTGCAAACATATCAGACCGAGCTGTGAAGAGAATTAACACACCCCACCCTGCCAACCAAAGGCAGCAACTACTGTCAAGGCTGAGGAGACAACAGGACGCCACTGCAGATCACTATTACGTGCATCTTGCCACATAACTGTCAGGAGAGGTAGAAGTCAGAGAACAGCACTGGCTACCCCCCACTGTGCTCTCAGTCTGTTGCAGATGTGTAAAGAGATTTGTGTGTTTGTCCTTAGAACTTGCCTTGTTAATGTTGTTGTAATATTGACACAACATTCAGTTCCAAGCTGTTACTAGCAAGTGGAAATTGAAGCTTTTTATTGAATGTATTTTTTTTTTAATCTTGGCTTTTAGAGCAAGATACTTAACAACATTAACATTCATTTTTACATCACATGTCACATGCTCAGCCGTGCTACTACTTTAGCTACAGCTGCGTATTGTCTGCTTCTCCAGAAGTCCTCAGACTGAAGATTTATGGTGAAACAGACACTTAAACACACACAAAACCAGAAAATGCAAGTAGGTTTTACTAATGAGGCAGGCATTTTGCTGCATGCACCTCTCTATCAGAATAAGTCCAACTTTAGCAGACACCAATAGCATCTTTTGTCTTTGTCTAATTTGGAAGCTGTTACACAGAACTGGGAAACAAGTTAATGTATGCAACATTTGCTGGAGCAGCAAAAGCAACAGACAGTGCTTGATCTAGTGAGAAACTGTCAAGAGAACAGAAGCTTTACATTCCAAACACAGGATTCCCCCCGGAATGAGAGGTATTTGAAGATGTCCACTGCTACATCTGGAATTAAAAGCTGAGATTTCTCATAGAGAAATGCAAATCAATTAAGCAAACCAAGAAATGTTTGGGAAACAGAAGGAAAATATTTGGCAGGCAAACACTAAAGTGTTGAGCAGCTCTGTGGGAGTCATGTCCCATGGACCAAACCAAAACCATAGTCTATTATGTAGGTAAACGCCAAGCCCATGTACAATTTTTCTCATCCCAAACATCTCCTGGACACTTGCTGCCTAGCATCCTTTCTACAAAAGTAGAGTACTGTACTGATAAGTCAGTGTGTAAAAACACCTGGGGGAGGAAGATTTAGCAAAGTATAAAGTGTTTTTTCAAAAGTGCATAAGTAGTAAACAACACTCCTCTGGGTTTGTATGTTTACCATTGTACCCAAAGACATGAGCCGTTTTAAACTGGCAGTTTTAGTGCTCCCAGCTTACGTTATCTGCTTGGAAGCTAAATGGCACCACTCTAACTACAGTACCACGTCTCTTATGCCAATGTCTGTCAGCAGACAGAGCTGCACAAGTGTCCTCATATAGGTGCATTTTGCAGCAGCCAAAAAGATGGCCGCCAGGTTCTACCTGTCTGGTAAGGAAACGAGAAGCTTCAAATGTAATCCTACTTAAAACAAAGTAACTCCCTTTGATCCAGTTCTTCCTTTACTTCCAACTCTGGAGCCTTTTGAAAGATGCCCTGCAATAGCCATTTCTTCCTTCTTGAAACAAGCGTATTTGCCTCACCCCTGCTAGTTGGATTAGGCAAATCTCAAAAGTTGCTTCTGTTACTTGCATTAGAAAGAGCTGCTTCCTCATCTGTTGCCACACTCAGCTCTGTTCCTTCTAGATCTAAGCACATAACCCTGAAGATTCAGGTCTTGAATGTTATATACTAGAGCCTCTAACTGATCCCAAAACCCCTGTTTTGTTCATATAAAACAGCAGCAAATACATCAAGCTTCCTTTATTCCCATTACCTTACACAATTAGCATTGCCAAGAGAAAGCTGATTTCCTTCCCACTGTTCAAGACCACATGCCCTTGGAGTTGTTCTTGTATGCATACTAGGTTCTCCATTCTAGTGAAATGTAAAAGCAGGGGGTTTTTCATAAGACCCAGCTCATTACCTCTTCAGGACTCTTTGACAGGGATCACATTAGAGGAGAACTGAACTGTTGGAAGTCGAGGCATTTATTGGTATCTTACTCCCTGCCCCTTAAAACCAGAAGACAGGCACAGTATGTTTTATAAGCTCTCTATACCTGGGAGCACATTCTCCTTTCCAAGCCTGGCTGATACAAATAAAATTTAACACAGATCCTCCTACTGCATACAGGCATCTCTGTTTCATTTACCGAGGCTTACAGCTTTGCATTCCAGCTTAAATCATAGGTGGAAAAAAAAAAAACAGGTGGCCTCAAGTTATAAACAGTCCCATACAGTGTGCCAGTGCGGGGTCCCCAAACTCATGCAACAGCCATGCATTGACTCATCATTTGAGAGGCTCTGACAGAGCCTGACAAAACAAATCCCTAAAGCCAGCCATTCTCTACCTCTCTGAACTCTGAACTTTTAGTCAACATTTGGGAATTTACTTACAAAACTGATTACCTTTATAATCTGTTTTCTGGTTCCTGTGCCCACACTATTGGCAACCAAGGAATTTGCTTGAAAAGATGACTTTTCCACTGGCACCGTGTGTTGAATTTTGTTGGTACAAGGCCAGCTACTTGTAGTATTTACTGAGTGAGCAGGGAAAGGTCTTTGACGATTTACATCCAATGAATCTCCGGTTTCAAAGGTTTTCATCCATGATGGGGTCTTTAAAAGAAAAGAGCACATGGAAATGTAATGCCCTCTCTATATCAATGCTCATTAAGCCAAAAAGAGTATCAGATGCATGGTCAGAAAATAAAGGCCATCTTCTCTCATCATTTTTCCAAGCTTCCTTTCTCTCTCTAAAACCAGTGACTCAGCCATTTTTGCTACATGTGGAACAACCTGGAAAGACTAAGCCAGCACTATTCTCGCACTGGTTCAGGAAGAAGATGGAGTGTTTATATTAATAACAAGAAACTTACAACAAAAATCTGGGTTTAGTTCCTCACTGCCTTAAAAAACACACTAAGACTTTTCTGACTTTTAGCAACCACAAAGCACGTGAACAAGAATGTGATGCAAACTATGAGGAACCACATTTAAACATATTATTAAGTTACAACAAATTAGTTTGCTCCAAGACCTTAAACCTTTACTGTGACTTCATAATCTTTAAAATAAGATTATTTTTTGCTTATGGTACTGGTATCCCACCCAGGAAAAACTACTTAGATTTTGTTTTGACATGAATTCTCCTTGTCTGTTGTCATCATCTTTTAATATTTTACTATCAAGGGTACTAAAGCATGCGCCTTGAACTGCAATTTGGCACACCCACACTATTCTCTTTTATGGTTCACGCTGAAAAAAGTGGCAGGTATTTAGGGTACACACATTTCCTAAGGAGCGATCCAAGGATCCCAGTACTTCATTCCAACAAGAGTAAAGCCCAGACTGTTTTTCTTCCAGTTTCAAAGCATGAATTTCAGACTTCAGTTCTTTCAGTCGATCTTCGAATTTTCTGCTCTTTTCTAAGTAGTCCAGCCTGGAGAGAAATTGTCCACATTGGAGAGAAAAAACTTATTGCCATGACATAGCTCAAAAATGTGTGTGGAAGGAGGGGAAAGGAAGCTCTTGGTTTCATTTTGGTTTTTTGACAGGCAAAATGAGTCTGGCACATGTTAGCCTCACTCCCCTGGCCCAGTGAGAAGAGGATTCACTTCCACGCTTCAGCATTCAGACAATAACTTTTTACCAAGCATTTCCTTCCAGACCAAGAGAGGAAAAGCGTCTAGTGTATTAGATCAAAGCAATACCATACTTCAACACTAGAGGGAAACTTCTGTCCTCTAACATGCTGTTACTCCAGCAAAGCACTTGGCCCCTGAAATAATGCTCTCCAAGACAGAAGGGTTCTGGACTTGTCATAGCTTGATGCCACCAGAACACTCTTCCTCTGGGTCTTACACAGACATAATCCACACCAGCTCAGTAAAAGGCCTCCAGCCACATATACAAGTAGGAGGCCATCCTGAGTTGTCAAAGATGAACTGTGATTCCCAGATATTATCCTTTTTTCTTTTTTATACTTTCCATTATTAACATTCTCATTTATTTATACCACAAGAATACTGATACCTCTCTCTCTCTATCTCAAAGGATAGTCTCTTGAGGTCAATGTCCTTCAAATCCAGCTTTACGGATCCTTTGTCAAAGTTGGCATCTCTGGTGTCAGTTGGCGAGTATTGTGGGTAATTGACTATGTGCTGAAAGAGGCAACACAATCACTGTCAGTAAGATCTGATGGTTTGACTTTGGGTTTATCTCCCCAGCTTCTGCAAGAATGCCATGCTGAGCCATTTCATAAGTTACCTGTGGATTCTGAGACACACAGATGCTCCTGCAGCCCTTCCCCTCTACCTGAGTAGCCCCAGATGAACTGCTGAAGTCCACAACCCACAGATCCAAGGGCAGAGTAGTATCCTGGCTGCAATGTTCCTACCTATTTCAGCAGAGAATGGAAATCTGTTCTCAGCAAGACTGGAGCAGAATAGGGAGTTGGGGAACGCGGCCTTAGCGCTACCTTCTTGCTGGAGACAGCTTCATCTGCTTTGCCTAAAGACACTCATGGGCAATCCACATGCCAGAACACAGCTGGCTCAGTACAACCACTTTCACAAAGTATTGCCTGACTTAGATGGCACAGAGTCAGTATTAGGCATGAATGCAGGCAAGAGAATCTCTGCTCACTAAGTCCCAGCACCAGTCCTGCCTTTCACTTTTGTCTCACCTTTCTTACCATCCTGACTCACTGCCCTCAACAAATAAAAATTCCATCCTAGCTACACTGCGTTCAAGCACCAGTTGGTCCTATAGGTGTTTGTCCCCCAGCTGGATGTAGGCATGCCACTACTCAGCTTGATGGGGGCTATAAAAATGCAATCAGCAACTGACTATCTCTGAAGATGAAGTGGTGCCCAGTAGAGCAGAAACTTACAGGATAATTAAGCCTGGTTATGTCTAAGAGTTTCTGCTTCGCTTTCCGTTCAGCCTCTCTGGCTTCATGCAGATCTTGTTTCAGATGCTCTGCTTCCTTGGCTCTGTAAAACAAATATCCTGACTTGAATGGTTGATGATTTCCAGTATAGAGCAACACATGGAATTTCAGAGCAACACACCTCACTGGCTTCCAGAGAACAAGATCCATTACTGTGAGTGATTCCTTCACCCAAAGACACTTGAGGTAGGATGGTCACATGGAGAACTAATGAGACACAGCATGACACATGCTTTCAAACATAATCCTGCCCAAACTGGCTGAATTAACATATTTTTCCTACTCCTAATTTCCATGGGCTCAGTTATGACCTGCTGGTACAGATTCTCCAGGCTGTCGGAGATCCTCCCTGAGGCGGGGAGAGGTGCAACATATCTGCTCTTTATTTTGGCAAGCTTTTTGGCAGTATCCTAAAACAAGCAGAAGGCCCTTAATAGCAAGGTTAAACGTCCCCTGTCAATACTGGTCTCCTCTGCAGCAGTATTATGGAACATGCAAACACTTAGAGGGTGATTTATATTCCACAAAAGTTTACCTGGTTTACACTTCTTTAAGATTTGAAAGGGACACAAGAGACCATCACTTGGTACTAATGAATGAAAACAGCCTCATAACTCACAGGGTGTATATAGTGGTAAGTTTAGACAGCTAGGTAGCCAGTGCTCTTTTGATAATGCTAAATTGAAAATGCTTCTGCATTCTGGATCTTTAATACTGAACATCTCTAAAGCCTTGCATCTGATCCTCTGAAAACTTCTTGACCTGCATCACAACAACTAGTACCAGGTGGAATAAACAAGATGCAAGACAGCTTAGTCACTCTGACGTGTTGCTTTGGGAACAATCCCTCCTCATGGGCTTAGCTCTAAGAAAAGGAGCACTCTCTCCACCCAGGCATCCCACTAGGGACCACACAACCCCACTCAAGCAATCCTAACCTCCGGTCAGACTCCTTCACAAGCTTCACTGCTATCAGCTCTGCTTCCCGCATCTTTTGCTCCATCAGGCGTTTTTCCTCCTTGGTTTTCAGAGCTGTGATCTCCAGCCTCTGTCGCTCTTGCTCAGCTTCTGCAGCATTCTGGGCCAGTAGTTTTGCCTCTTCCTCTGCAATCTGAGCTTTCTCAGCCAACAACTCCGCTGCTTCCTGGGATCGGAGCTAAGAAGAAACAATTTTCTTAGTTATTCTGTCTAGTATCTACCAAATCACCTCTGCAGACAGCCAGGAAGAGGACGTCTTTTCCCAAAAGATTAAGTCATAAAAATATTATCCCTTAAAATAAAAAGTATAGTAAACATAACTGTAGGGTCTGGTGTTCTTCCTCTGCTCCAGAATTGCCTAACTTCCTGCCTCTCACCTCTACAAAGCAAGGAGATACATTTGCTTAGAGTTGGACACACAGACATCAACCAGAAATTGAAACTGGCCGCTTCAGTTGCCAGTGCACCATGTCCCTTTTCTCTCAATTTCAGCTCCCAGGTTGCTTCCTTTCTTCCCTCTTTGCCTGAAGAAAGCACTGTGAACCAAATAAAGAGAGCAAATGGCTCACAGCAAGTGGAGGTTATGTGAGATAAGAGTTTTCTCAGGTATTCCAACATGCCCTCTCCACCAGTGGTCAGAAACTCTCCAGCCCTCTCCAAGCCATAATTCCTGGTGTCTCACCAGCTTCCCAAAAAAAGCTTCCCAACCAAGAAAGCCCACCAAGCACAAGAATATTCAGACTAATGTGCTACTCACCAGGGCCTCATTGGCCTGCCTGGCTTCATCTTCCAGCTGGAAAAGACGCCTTTCCAGCTCTTCTTTGGCTCGCTCAGCTTCTTCTCGGAGCTGCTTCTCCCTGGCCAGCCTTTGATTCTCCATCTGGAAATAGAATGAGCAATACCACATTTGTGGGTTTGCAGCAGAATCTCATCTGGGCCTGAGGCAGCACAGCAAATTAATCTAATGAAGAATGAACTGCTCTCTAGCTGGTGGACAGATACTCACCAGAGATGCAATGCTGAAGCTGCTTGCACTTTGCAGCAGTGAACTCCTCTAACGGGTAATACTGGTTATTTCAGACTGCTGGGAGAGCACTTGGATCAATCTGTTATGTACCCCAAATCTTTGCGATCACCTATTCAGTTTCGCAAACATCACTTACATCCTCAGATGCTGCATACACACTAGAGGTGTTCCCACATTCAATCCTGCTGCCCTTTCTCACCTCCCACACACATATTGATGCAATGCATGGACAGCAAGGGCACCAGCTGGAATAATAATCAGTGTTTTCAACACTAGAGGAGCAGAAATAATCTACCTTTTTTCTAGCTTTTTCTTCCCTGGCTTGTGCTTTCATTTGCTGGATCTCTATTGAGTCTACTTTTCTTCTCCTCATAAATAGGTCGTGGTTTCCAATGCACAACTGCAAAATCTGGATAGAAAAAGCAAAGCAAATGCAATTTTTATGTCTTTTCCCAAAAGATTAAGTCATAAAAATATTATCCCTTAAAATAAAAAGTATAGTAAACATAACTGTAGGGTCTGGTGTTCTTCCTCTGCTCCAGAATTGCCTAACTTCCTGCCTCTCACCTCTACAAAGCAAGGAGATACATTTGCTTAGAGTTGGACACACAGACATCAACCAGAAATTGAAACTGGCCGCTTCAGTTGCCAGTGCACCATGTCCCTTTTCTCTCAATTTCAGCTCCCAGGTTGCTTCCTTTCTTCCCTCTTTGCCTGAAGAAAGCACTGTGAACCAAATAAAGAGAGCAAATGGCTCACAGCAAGTGGAGGTTATGTGAGATAAGAGTTTTCTCAGGTATTCCAACATGCCCTCTCCACCAGTGGTCAGAAACTCTCCAGCCCTCTCCAAGCCATAATTCCTGGTGTCTCACCAGCTTCCCAAAAAAAGCTTCCCAACCAAGAAAGCCCACCAAGCACAAGAATATTCAGACTAATGTGCTACTCACCAGGGCCTCATTGGCCTGCCTGGCTTCATCTTCCAGCTGGAAAAGACGCCTTTCCAGCTCTTCTTTGGCTCGCTCAGCTTCTTCTCGGAGCTGCTTCTCCCTGGCCAGCCTTTGATTCTCCATCTGGAAATAGAATGAGCAATACCACATTTGTGGGTTTGCAGCAGAATCTCATCTGGGCCTGAGGCAGCACAGCAAATTAATCTAATGAAGAATGAACTGCTCTCTAGCTGGTGGACAGATACTCACCAGAGATGCAATGCTGAAGCTGCTTGCACTTTGCAGCAGTGAACTCCTCTAACGGGTAATACTGGTTATTTCAGACTGCTGGGAGAGCACTTGGATCAATCTGTTATGTACCCCAAATCTTTGCGATCACCTATTCAGTTTCGCAAACATCACTTACATCCTCAGATGCTGCATACACACTAGAGGTGTTCCCACATTCAATCCTGCTGCCCTTTCTCACCTCCCACACACATATTGATGCAATGCATGGACAGCAAGGGCACCAGCTGGAATAATAATCAGTGTTTTCAACACTAGAGGAGCAGAAATAATCTACCTTTTTTCTAGCTTTTTCTTCCCTGGCTTGTGCTTTCATTTGCTGGATCTCTATTGAGTCTACTTTTCTTCTCCTCATAAATAGGTCGTGGTTTCCAATGCACAACTGCAAAATCTGGATAGAAAAAGCAAAGCAAATGCAATTTTTATGTACCTGTACCCCAGCCAGGGGGACAAAGAGCCCCACATTGGCCTCACAGGAGAGAAGCTGACAATTCTGACTTCAGCACAAGTGCTGGCAGTTGTTTCCCTTCCAAGAAAATCAGCACCCAGGGCAGGCTCATACTCAGGTACATAACAGTTTAGAAAAGTTCATAACAGGATAACGGGTTCCTTCTGTCCTTCATCCCCTCTGGTTCCATTTTTCTGAAGAAGAACAGGCAACAGATCTAGGCCAAGAGTACACAAGATGTAGCTGTGGGAACGGTCACCTGTGATGGCCCCTCCACAAGCTCACTGAGAAGTGACCCAGCCCCTGTGGTTGTGTTAGGATGCAGTCAGTGATAATACAATTAGCCAGCTGATTAGGTCACTTCCTTGTTGCTTCTCCCAGAAAAGGAGAGGCAGTAGATGATTAAGAACCCACAGCAGCCAGATAGGTAGATGCTGCAGTGGCTTTCCACCTTTCCATACGCTACACCCTCCCCTTCCAGCATCTGGATTTCCCTTTGTGATTTGGGCCGCCTTTCACATCTTGCTTTCCACCCATCATCTCCCCTTCTAAGAGGGGACAAATATATGCTCCTTGACTTCCCAGACAGAAAAATTCTCAAGAAGATACTCAGTGCTCCCTGGCCTCTCCATAGGTTTTAGAAACAGTATTTCTCACTCAGATATCAGTCAGAATTACCAGGCTCAGTTTTAAAGAAGGAAAGCAGGACACTTACCAGTTTGTTCACTTTGAGTTGGGAGGAAAAGAACTTGAAGACTTCTGCTTTTTTGTCAAGAGGTTTAATAGTTAACTGTACAGGCAAAAGAAAAAGGAAAGAAACACAGTGAGAAGAAAAAACAAAGCTGAAACTATTAATACTAATGCAAACTTTAGCACATCTCCACTTCTCTCCAGGGCAGCAGTGATTTATGCCACAAATGTGGGGAGTGAGATGCAAAAATGTTTTGCTCCAAAGAATCAGAACCAGGGCTGCTGTTACACAGGTTCCTCATCTGCTCCTGTAGCAGGCTGTTACAAGATAAAGCCTCCCAAAGACCCATCCCCGGTGCCAGTTTGGATGGTGGTTTTCATAATAATACCCGCTGTGCATTGCAAACTATACTAAGAACCCCAAAACAAGCACCAGTTATCACGAAAGCAGAATACATTACTAATCCCCAAAAGTAGTCATATTCTTAAAGTCAGGGAGATGTCAAACACCTCACTGAATGCCAATCATTGCAGGTGTAAATAAAATGTATTGAGGGCCTGAAGGACTTGTTCTTCTGACCATCAGGTAACAGTCCTGGAGCTCCTGCTTTCTTACATTTCCAGTCCTATCTCCCCAGCTGTTTCCAGAGGACATGAACGGCTTTCATGCTGTCAGGTCAGTATACACTGTTTTACTTGGTATGTTGTGCTCGGTTTGGCTGCATAACAAAATATGGTTCCATTCTTTAAGATCCTGTTTTCTGTGACTCATGGGTTAGCTAGCACTCTATTCCTATAATTCATTTGTAATGCAGTGTATAATTTCAGGCCATCTGAGTCACCAAGATCATAATGTCCTACAGCTCGTTTCACCCCATAGGTAACAACTGGTTGAATGTGCTGCCTTGTGAGAAGCAGGGCTGTGAATGCGCCACTGAATATAGTGGAGCTTTAATATAGCGCTGCCCAATTTCCCAAGAACAGGGAGTTAAAGCAGTTTATTCACAGACCTGAGAAGTGTAATGTCATACAAGGACTGAAAACTTTCTGGAGGCAGAACTCCTGTAGGCTGCCCTGCCTGATTTAATGTATGCACATCTAACTCTGGACAGCAAATCTTATTCTCAATGCTTTTTGAAAGGCCCTCAGAAATATGGAACAGGCTGTGCTGTCCTTTAGCTGACAAATTACAGGGATTCCACTACCGATGTAGTTTTTCTAGTTTTGTTTTTCTGATTATAGCCTTCCATGTAGCCACATGATTTGTAATGAGACTAAATTTCACCCACTCCCCACTGTACTTTCTACAGGTAAAAGATGGGCTCTAAAATCACAGTGAAATTGCAATGGTAGGGGTGTCCTGAAGACCGAAATCCTGCACTGACAAACTGGCAGAATTCAGGCAGAAAAACATGTACATCTCCCTGCATGTCTCCTCATGTCAGTGTGCTTCAAACCTCATCTACAAGGAGAGCTTCTGCATATGAAAATGGCATTAAGTCTTTACAGATCATCCAATCCCTGCTGAGATAACTGAAGAAGCTAGTTGTGGTGGCATTCATAATATCTATCTTTTTCAGATATCAACGTAGTTGTTTTGCAAAGGACAAGCAGCAGGGAAGGAACCCGAACAGTGGGCTCCACAAGTTTGGAGAGCTGAGTAGCCTCTGGCTCCTAGGGGAACCGAGGTTATGCAGCACATCTGAAAGGCAGGTCTGTTATTTTTAGTTTTGTAACAGAGCTCCTAGGATTTTCCCCTTCTCCCCCAAATTATTTAAACAGAGACAGCTTTCAGTCTGTTCCAAGAATCCCAGTCCACACCCATGCCCATATAAAAAGAATAATATATCAAAGCCATCATACCTCCTTCTCACTATAGGAAATGTTTCTGATAGCACTCCACTCAAACGACTTATTTGGAGAGAACCTGTTGTTAATGCTGTAGATATGAATACCTTTGGCATCAACCCCAAGTAGGAGATCTGTATGGTTTTTATTTTGCTAAAAAAAAATAGATATCAGTAAAAACCATTTATGGTGACATTAAACAGCCACAGACAAGAATCACATTTATTCTAATACATTGATATTTATCTGTATTTTTAGGAAATGGGTATTTCCACAAAATGTTATGAATGTTGTCACTGGTAGCTAATACACCCAGTCTTCTAGGTTGACTACAGCAGCTTAGGCTTTTAGTTTATTTCTCCTTCTTCCTATTACATATCCAGAGCTACTCAAGACCTTTGTCAGATTGTAAAACATTAATCTTAACTGGTTTATTCACCTACTCACTTAGCATGCCAGTCAACCAAGTCAGGACAATCAGTACACAGCCCACCATCAGCAGAAAAAAAACAGAAGCCAGGAGTCCCAGTTCCAAACTCCCTGGAAGATTTTAAAAGGACAGTACCATCATCTACAGCAATAGAAAATTGCTTAAAAAAGCACTTACAGCAATTGGAAAATAATTGACACCATACATTTCCAAGTCTTGGGCAATTTTCAGGTAGTTCATCTCAGCTTCATCCCTAGAGAGTAAGACCATGATTTTACTTGGAGATTCCTTTCCAACCTTCCTGTCCTAGCTGACTCTACATTTCCCACTTAGAAAAGAACAGGCAATCTGGTTCTTTGTACTTTCTTTAATTTTGCCATCTTAGCCTCAGTAGAAAAAAGAATAAAAACAGCATCTCTACAGAATAAAGACAGTAAAGCTGTACCTATTTTAAATCATGTGTAGTGCAACCTTTATTAAAATTCAAGTCCAGTCTTATCCTTGTGTTATTTTGCCACTCCATCATTATTATGTCTTGGAGACCTACACTACCATTGCTTTCCATGACATGAGGATATTTCCTCCAGGAAACAAGAGTTCATGGAGAAAGGAGTCCTAAACAAGTTGTAAACAGAGCTTTGGGCAGAGGCCAAAGAAGGGTGAAAATCTTCCCACCCACCGTTCTTCTCCCTTTGGGGTGAGGCATCAACAAGTCTTGAGGAAAATATTCAATAAAAATAGTGCTAAGAAGCATCTAGAACAGCCAAAGAGAAACTGAACTGAAATATTAGAAAAAGCTGCCTCTGGGTGCTAACAGCTCCTACTTCTTGTTTAACTGAATTTCCAGGCATGCTAAATGTGTTAGAAGTAGCTGCATATCCACATGGACTAGCACCAAAACTCAGTCCTGGTTTTGGTTCCTTGCTAAGTATGGTGATGCCCTTTTGAGCTATGATTTTCACAAGGTATAAAATATACCTGATTCTTTTATTCTAGGGGAGGACTGGCATGACATGGCTCCAGAAAAGCAGCTGCCACATAGGGCAGACACACCAGCAACTCCAGGTAGCTAACAGCCTTAAATGCAAAGACTAATCTCTTGGGGCTGACTGCAAATTCAACACAGGTCAAACTTTCTGCAAGAAGTTCCCTCTGCTGGAATACATGGACTCTGATGAGACAGGACTCCTATTTTAGATATGTTAGGTCACAAAACTCTGCAAGAGCCCTCCGCTTCTCTGTTCACTTCAAAGCAAGTCCAGTTTACAAGCACTTGGAGCCCTACACAAGATGCTTTTTACCCCAGATGAATGGGTGTTTTTATCCTTAGTTATAAAATAACCTATTAACACCACAGCTTGGAAACCAATATTTATTTGCTCACTCTACAAAAGCCAAATTTCACTAAAGACAGCAAATAACCAGTTACTGAAATGAAATAATTTCATTCTTTGGAAATCCCATACAATACCTGGCGATACCCCTGTGCTCAGCATACCAAGCAGTAATCTTTTCTTCCCACATCTCTGCTGTCAGCTGATACTGCCTGAGGACCTACAGAGAAAAGAAGGAGTCTGGTTTCCTTTGAAGATACAAATACACGTGCTGCCTCTCCCAAGCAACATGAATGCAGCAATGCAGTTCACAGCTCGGTCAGTTTGCCAAGTTCAGGACAAACACGAACAGTTTCTAATGCTCTGGTTAATCCCACAGCAGTATCCATGCTGCAGAGATTCAGAGATGTGATTTTATACAGAATAAAGACTTACCCTTTTGGGTAAAAGTTCATCATGGGCTAGAAAGCCTGGCTCATGAAAGTTTGGGTCGTAGTCACCATACTGTCCCAAGAAATGAAAAGATACTTCAGTTTGTTAGATGCAGGATGCTGAAGAACTTATTGGTTGCGTAGTTTGATGCAATTGCTTGAGACAGATTTTGTTTGGGTTCTCCTATATACAAGGTAACAGATAATAAACAGGCTGCCCTCATCTGAACTGTCCATGGAAGTCACTTCCAGCCTTTGTGCTATGCACGTGGCTCCAATACAGCCGCTAAAGCAGCCTATAACCTTAGACTCCAGTCCTAGCCTGCAGCTCTCGGTAACTGCAGATATGAAGGAATCTCCCATGCATATCCTTCTCTGAGCTAAGGCTACATTCAGGAGTGTAAACTCCCCTACTCCTATAGCCTACTGCTTATAGGCTGGGCTGCTGCAGAAGGCCAGCCCTGCTAAGAATTTGTGTTTGCCTCCTGCCATTGTATAAATTTGGCTTTCAGTGGCATGAAGCAAACTACGTTCTGAGAGATAGTAAAAAACATCGTGTCCTTCCATTGTGAGCTCTGGTATCAGCACCTGCCGTATCCATGGACAATTTTTAAAACAGGAAATAACTCTAGCTGGAGAAAGATTACATTAAAATGCTAGGTCCAAAGAAATCCCTTTAGCTGTGAAAGCATAGTACATAACACCAAAATCCTTGTAGTGGCATCTAATGCTTATTTTTCTAGCTCTACCTGTACCTCCCAGGATGACCTATTTCTTTAATAGCAAATTTTAACACTGCTGTGTTTAACACACCACCATGTATATGTGTTAAATAAGGGGGGAAAAAAATCAATTAAAAAAAAGAGTATTTGTATGCACAAACCTTGGCCTGAACAGCATAAGAAGCCAGTAGAACCGTTGCTTCTGGAGAACAATAGATTTCCTCATCGAGTATCTGTTTCTTAACCTAAATCCAGAGAGAAAGGGAGCAAGTTAAAGAAGCTCAAAGTCAGGATTTATGTCAGGCTTAACATGAAACTAGACGTGCCCAGACTATAACTTGGCACCAAACATGACCATTATGAGTTAATAACAGCAACAATAAAGTGGCACTCAGAAACCCAGGAAGCCTTTACTTAGTATTGTTTAAAGAAAAAAAAAAAAAACACAACAACTTCTGAAAGTTGAAGTGTCTTAAGTCTAAGTGCATAGAAATGCCAGTCAGCTATCTCCACACATTTATATAAGGAGTCCTGAAAAAGAATGTGTTATAAAACATTAATTTTATTGTCTGCATTTCATTCCTTTTAACAATTCTTTTTCTTCCTGCTTCGGAAAAGTTAGCCTTACAACATGTAAAACGTCAAATTTTAGGTTGGAAGGGACCTCTGGAGGTCATCTAGTCAAAGTAGGTCCAACTAGATGAGATTGCTCAGGGCTGCCCGGCTGACTAATATTGCCCAGGACAGAGACACACTGAAAACCATAATAGTATATTCTCAAGCTTTCCAGAACAAGAGAATAAAGGAGACACCACAAAGGGAAGCTGACTACTAGAGCACTTAATTTATTCAATTACAGGGGTCTAAGCACAACAAAAACATAGGGGCTTAAAAATAAAAGCCCAGTATAAATGGTATAGAGTCTTTTAACATTCTTTTCATTTTAATAATCTACGGTACTACCAAGATCAGAGCTGTAATAGTTTGTAAGATGTAACTTTATTTTAAATCAGTAGGGTAATTTTTACTTGAAAACCTAAAGAGTGAAAAGGAAATTCATCTTCACAAACCCTCCTCTCAGCCGTAATGTATTTAGCCTACTAACAAGCAGAAGACAAGAAAATTTTGCATAATGCACAGTCTTAAACATTTCCAAAAAGAAAAATTACTTGAGATAGCACTGAGCTATCTTTACAAATACACTTCATCACTATAGGCACTGTGAACTGAAATGAACCATCAAGAAAGTTTTTCTTTTAAATTCAGTCTCGGGTGAGCACAATATATGAACCTGAGTTATAGTAGAGGGAAAATTCTTTCTAAGCTGTTAAAATGGAAAGAATGAAAAGACTGAAAATACTTTTCTTCCAAATTGGAAAGCTCCAGCTTTCATACTCCACTGTGCAAATAATACATTTCAGAATTTAGTACAAGTTAAGATAAATCCCCCATAAGTGTCTGGGGTTTTTTCTGATCAGTTCTTACAAGGACATTTTGTTATACTTCTTTATGAAGGAACAAATTACCTAATCTTTAAACAGACAACATTTAGCTTTAGTCATTTACATTTATTCACACATTTTGCAAAAAGCTGTTATGCCACATTAGTTTGTAAAGGTCTGAAGAGTCAGTAGAGCTGAAATCTGTAGGCATCCAGATGTCCGTACATGTTTTTCCTATTAGCATCCAGGTGTGATCTTAAGTTCTCATAGTCAGGAAACTTTGCAAGTTCAAATTTGTTTCAGTCTTGTTTTTCTGCTTTGGAATGAGAAGAATTTGCTAATTGCATATCTGCTAGTCAAGGCAGGTTCAAGGAGAAAAGAAAAAAGTGAGAAAAGTCAGAATTAAAAGACTAGGAAAGAGTTCTGCCCTTCTCATTCCTTTCCAAAATTAGCTTAAGAAACAAATTGCCAAGTGGTTAAGGGTTCTGGATGAAGTTCTAGTTAGTAAATTAACCCTCAGAACAACAACATTTTCCCATTACTTCATTAACACATCCTCCTCAGGGAACAATTGTATGTACTGTGTTTATTTACAGATGCAGACTGAATTTATTCCATACACCCGATTTACTTGCACAGACACATACTGCTGAAAGCTACCAGAATAAAGCAACACACCAGAAGGCTCTAACTTGCAGGGGACTCCGCAGCAACTGAGGAGGATTTCACAGACATTGGAACAAACAGCTGACCAACAAGCAACCATCCAAAACTCAGATTTTATATCTGTTGCTACAGCCTTTGCTGCAGCTATGGAGCCACAGCAGGGCTTTTCTTGGTTGATGCATCTTTATTTTGATAACAAAGCACCATACTCCAAGAATTTGCTTCTTCATCTACTTTTTAATGGAGCTAAGAGAACCCTAACAATTTCTGGGACAAAAGAAAACCGAGTGGCAAATAAGAAAGCTGCCTCTGCAAAGCTATAGCATCAATGCCTGTGTGGGGTTAACTTAATTACTCTTACTGGTTCCACCTCATGGAAATTTGTACATTTGTAAGAGCCACCATGGTATACTGACCAAGAGGTGTTCACACAGCTAACGACTCTGCTCTTGAGCACAGACCTGCTGTCCTGCAGCTCCTCAGTAGCTACCACTGTGGCAGAGCTGGAATGGGTTCTGTTATCTGTGATGAAGATTTGTCCAGGCTGGAGGTTTATTCCACTAGCACAAGTAGCAGGCACCCAGTTCAATGGGGTAGGAAAGACAACTCAAGCTGGCAGAAGTCAGCATATGCAAGTCCGGACATTTCAGAATACCAACACCGTTCCAAGGGAACGGCACTTCTCATTCAGGCCTATCAGACGATATGATGATGCCTTCAGATTTTGTCTTTAAAAGGATCACACATTGTGGTGAATCTTCTGTTTGAGTCGTAGCTGTGTATACTGCTCCACTCCTTTTGAAACTTGCTACCTGAACAAACCTATACTTCAGAATGGCTATCAAATTCTGTGATCTTTTTTCCCAACACTCCAAAATGAAGATTTAGGACAGGTTAGGGAGTTCTTGTTTTCTTGCGATTGTGCCTTCTACAGTCATAGGCAAGAAGATCTCCCAGTAACCACCTGGTCTATTTTTAAGAACTTGCAAGTTTTAGTTTCAGGGATAGGCTATAGTGACAGGTCTTGTTCCATCGGCAGCTGATATGGGTGAAAAAGCCTATTGTCCCCAACTGCTTATCTTCTCCACTTTCACAACTGCCACCATAATTGCTTGTGTAGTCACTCCCCCCCCCTACCCCTCCCCAGTGCATACATCTAATAACAGGTCTCTTCTAATGCTGTGCATTTGGAAAGAACTAGGTTAGGGAATGGTTACACAAGAGGTTACACCAACAGGTCTAAGACGATAATGACAAGGAGCTGTTGAGACTCTCTTCATCCAATTTAGCTGCAGCCAGAGCAGACCAGATGACACAGCCCTCAAAATAACTTGTGAAGCTGACAAAAATGATGGCTTCATTTTATACTTCTCAGTACTGTCCAGGTTAGGGCAAAAGCCTCACAGTTCTTCAAGCAGTGCCTTGCATGGATTTTTTTTTTTTAAACACATCCTATATGAGCAAAACAAGTCTGGAACATCCAGATGTGGAATTATCACCCCAACAGCTAGGTTTAAAAGTCATTCTACATGAAACTACAGGTCTCAGCAACTCCCCCTCAGAGCACAAACAGTAAGAGAAGCCATCAAGAGAACAAAGACCTGCAGAAAGCAAACAACATTCAGCTTACCAGTACACAAAACCACAGGTTAGGAAAGATGTTTTGTATATCACAAAAATGAGATCTTTACAAAGACACTGATACAGCTGAAGCCAGCACAATCATTCAGAGACTAACAGCTGCCAACAAGATCAAAGACAATACAAAAGGACTGGGGTAAATACAGAAGGAATTCACAGTTAAAAACTGTTCCTGACCTGAAGGAAGAATAAATGCTGGGTGATTTCCTGTAATAGTTCCTCTTCTACTTTCTCTGGGTAGAATTTGGCCAAAAAATGAAAGCTAATGGGATCTTCTTTGGGGATTTCTTGATCTAAAACCTGTTTAAGGATAAAATAAAACCAGCAGCAAAAATAGTACATAAGTATCTTAAAATAATACTCCAAAGGAAAAATCAAAAAGCAGCTGATAATCCACTTAGAGCAGCCTTTCCATATTTTAGAAGGAAGGGCAATGCTGAGCTTTAATCTAATAGCAATCAGTGCTTGTAATGGTGATTGGTGTGTGAAATGTCAGGCCAAACATGATAGAAGTAATCAGACCAAATAACACAATAAACTTTAGTCTTAAAAAATGATACCATCTAAAATTATGAGTTGTCATGTAAGGCATTCCTTTTGCTCCTGTGCTAAAAAAATTAAAGCTTTTCATAAGTAGAAAATTGCCATGCTGTTATTTTTTGTTTCCTATACCTTTTTGTCCATCTTTAACCAGGTGCACATTCCTTTTATTGTGTACTGCAAGCCAAAAAACCAAGTTTCCCTTAAACCAAGTGCTCGGCACACCAGATCAAACAAGTCCTTTCCCTTCCACTTCATCTAAAAGAAAAAGAGAATTAAGAAAAACAGGTAAGTCTTGAATGATTTTGCTACATTTTAGTCAAGCAAACCATGCTACCATTTGCCTTGCTCCTATGAACTTCACCTTTTTGAACTTCACCTTTAGCTTTTCAATGAAACATGCCTACTGCTGTCTACAGAAAAGATGCAATAGTTACATGCTCTACCTCCTCTTCCTCTCCTCCAGACAAACATTCACAGAGCAGCTGTAGTCATTTAACCACAGCATCATGCACTTTATGAGCACAGGGAATGAGGATTGTACTACTGATTTCCTAGGACATGGCAAGGTTTTATTAATATTTGTAAAAATCTTACTCAATAGTTTGTACAAATTGGAGAGACTGAGGGAAGGCCAAGGGAAATCAAAGGAGTGTCAGGGCACAGCACAGAAATGCCAAACAATCAAAGCAAATCCATCTTTCACATACCTCAGCTATTTCAGTGGCACCAAGCCTTTATGCTACTCTGATTTAAATGGAGTCTGTCTTCTAGAATTATTTACTAGCCTGGCTCCATAGGGAACAAACTTTGATTAGAAGTCCTGAAACTCACACATATGACATCTGAAGAGGCAGTGCATCTGTTTCTTTTGTTTGGCTACATGTTAAAAAGATTGTTTTGTCTAATTGCATGGGTCAGCCACTAAAAACTTAATAGCAAACAAAAGAACTTTTGGGCAATATTTGGATGGAAAGCAGGAAACCATCCCAGCAAGAGAGCAATATTTGGGGAGAAGGGAGAGATAGCAAAGGAAGGAATACATCAAGCTGGATTTGATAACAAGTACTCTGATCTCTAAGTCAACTTTTCCAAATCCTTTATTTTCACAACGCTGCAAGTATTGTAGATCAGTAAGTCACAGAATTGCACTGCTTGTGACTAATCTATTCTGTCTCTGAGGGACCTAGTAAATTAATACTAAACGCCCCACAAGTCAGTCAAGTCTCATTAGAACTGCCAGTAAAATTGGACCTCAGTTTTCTAACTCCTCAAAATAACTGTATGTCTGTCTTTGCTTTTGCTGGATGATTAGGAATTAATCAGGCACAGTTCTGTCTCCTCAACAGTGCAGCTCAATTCATTTAACAATTGCTCACTTGCTGTATTTGTTTTCTTCCATATTTTTCTGCAGTCATGACTTCTCTATCTGATTTACTAGATAGCCATAACTAATAGAAGAGCTAGCTTTTTCATTTGAACATTTTTCTATTCTGCCCAGAGATGTAAACCAGCCATTGTAGCTAAAGAAATAAACTGGAGTTTACAGATGGCAAATCAAATTTGAAGAGAATGTCCCAGATCAAATGAGCACAAAAGTACCATTTTCTAAGTTATTTTATAAGCAACATCTTAGGAACAGCTTTGACCAGACTTCTTTATCCAAGCCAGCAGTGTCTTAAAGAGCTGTGTCACTTAAAGGAATTTTGTGGAGAAGTAGGTATACCTACAAACAAGCCCTGCATCATGTGCCAGGATGTTTATGAAGCAAGCAGGCCTATTGCTAATTTAGCAGTGTCACAGTCAAATGGATTTCATGGAAACAGATTTAAACTCTGAACAGTCAGAGTTGTTTAACAGAAGAACGCATGTGAGCATAAGTAAGCCCTTGTTTACAAAAATAATAGATCAGTCTTAAGATCATCCGTGAACTGATAATCTGAACTTTTCAGATTTGTCTTGCTAATAGAAAGACCAGTCTCCATCTTTCTAGCATTCTGCTGAGGACTCACCTCACAGCTGAACTCCATTTCAGCATCCACTGTTATAATTTTGACTTTAAAAGTCTTTGGTTGTTTCTTCTTCAAGCCTCGGATGGACATATTTTTTAGTTTGTGAGGATAGTCACACCTGAAATCAAACGTGTTACATTTAGGGCTGGAAATTCTGCAACGTTTTCTTGGCTAGATTCCAAAGTAGGATGAGTCCAAACTTGCAGAATAAAGTCACTTTAAAATATGCATCTTTGTGTCCAAGACTATAAGAAAGGATGTTGAAACAAAATATTTAGTTTGCATCTTACAAACCAATTGCTCCAAAATGTCATTCCTGTCTTTCCTCTCAGACTTTGGCAAACACTGGGTTCCTACAGTACTAGAAAGAATTTCATTCAGACCTTACATTGCAAGATCCAAGGGCCTGCCTCTCACTACAGCCTGATGACATCTAAGGAACCTCCAATCCAGCCCTCATTCTCCATACAATCACCCACATCCATGCAATTTAGCAGCGTCTTGCAACAAAACTCTGCAATGGATGAATGTTTACAGTTTCATAAAAGGAATACCTGATTTTTTAATAATGCCAACAGAAATAAGATGTTCTTCATCCCTTTTACATATCCAAGCAAAATTCCCTTTCTGAGTAAAGGTCTCTGCGGTATGTACCAACACCAAATGCATCAGTGGAGGCTCCACTTGTAGGATACAGTAGGGAGCTATGTCACGCAGCAAAACCTTACAATATCAAATCCAACTCAATTCTTTTCCATCAGTTATGGCTCCTTGAGCAACTAACTTACTGAGTTTCTTTACAAAATTACATCTTAACTCCCTGAAATGATACAAATGCCAAGAATATATGCAGTGAAACTAAGCTGAATTTACTCTGTTCTCTTAGGCATACTAACTCACAATGATGAAAGCTATTTAGAACAGAAATTTTTCCAGTGGAGTTCTTGTGAAGTGAAATGGAATTTAATTTTGCAGAAGCCTACAGAAAATTCCTTCACAAATCTTCTATTCTAAATGCGATTGACAGCATGCCATCAAGAAAATTGATGAGACATGCTATTTCCACAGCCACAAAATCAGCCTGTAATGTTTTCTTCTTGTTTTTACTTTATAAAATTAACAGCTCAGACTGGCACAACCTAGTTAGTATCTATGAACTATATAGGTCAAGAAGAGACTGAGGCATTCTTGGTTTCCTACAATATAAGACTATTACAGAATGGCAGACTTCCAATCTCTCCTTAAGGAATTCCAAAATAAAGTTCTAGTTTAAACTGAAAAGTTCCATTTGTCTGTACCTTTCAGGATTTTATAAAATTTCTTGTCCCCTTCTTTGCTTCTGCTGAGCTCTAAAGTGGCTTGCAAATGTACTGATTATTTTCTACTTATTTTGTATGTGCCCCTCATCCAAAAATTTCAAGTAGCTAAATAGGAGGCAAAATGTATATGGAAGTTTTTTCTTTTCAAATTGTAGGGAAGTTGAGGCAGAGAACAGCTGAGTTAGTTACCAAATCATAGGGACACCAAGGAGCAAAGTTGAGAACAAGTACTTGGGACAACTCAGCGTGGGGAAAAGCTCAGGAGGAAATTCATCTTTCTGACACCATTGAGACTACTTGAGAAGTCTTCTCCCTCCAGCTGGCTCTGGTGAAGCTTCTGCTGAAGTCTTGTTTGGTTTGGGGCAACACACTTCAGGAAAGATAATGGGCTAACTGGAAAAAATCCAAAAGATCCAAGGGCCAGAAAACAATCTGTGGTAAAATGAAAGTACTGGTTAGTAGAGAAGGGATAAGTGTGGTAAGACATTATAATGTCTGGTCTTGATGACCACAATGGTTAGGACAAGAAATAATGGCCTCAATTAAACTGCAGACAGGTTGCACACTGATTAAAATTCACTAACAATAAGAAGATTATGATGCTGGAAAAGCATAGGATGGAATTTCTCTTTCTGAACTATCTAAAACAGTGTGACATGTGCTCCCACCTGAAGACTGGAAGGAACTCCATGCCCTCAGAGCACTCTTCCCAACCTGGTCCTTCTGCCACCAATCCTAGGAGAGGCGAGTCAGTGCAAGCCAGGGTGCTTCAGGGGTAGAAATATCCAGACCCCAAATCCCATCACCCTCAGGGTACCCCCTTGTCCTCAGGGAATATTTTTTTAGAGTACTGAAAAACAGATCTTGCCACAGAGTGCGTTTCCTCTATAATTTATGCAACACCTCAGTACACACTACTAAGCAGAGCTCAGGTACTTTCTATTTAGCATAGAAGTGTTTTCAATTAAGGGGAAAGTAATATTTAAAAACTAGAAAATGACAATAGTAGCATGGTGTAATGTGACCACAGTAATATTGAAAAGGAGAGCATATTGAAAAGCTGGACATGAGCCAGCAATGTGCGCTGGCAGCCCAGAAGGCCAACTGTACTCTGGGCTGCATCAGGAGAAGCATGGCCAGCAGGTCGAGGGAGGTGATTGTGCCCCTCTACTCTGCTCTGGTGAGACCTCACCTAGAGTACTGCGTCCAGCTCTGGAGCCCTCAGCACAAGAAGGACATGGAAGTGTTGGAGCGGGTCCAGAGGAGGGCCACAAAAATGATCCGAGGGCTGGAGCACCTCTCCTATGAGGACAGGCTGAGGGAGTTGGGCTTGTTCAGCCTGGAGAAGAGAAGGCTGCGGGGAGACCTGATTACAGCCTTTCAATACCTAAAGGGGGCCTATAGGAAAGAGGGGGGAAATCTTTTTAGTAGGGTCAGCAGTGACAGGACAAGGGGTAATGGTTTTAAACTAAACCAGGGTAGGTTTAGACTGGATATAAGGAAGAAATTCTTTACAATGAGGGTGGTGAAACACTGGAACAGGTTGCCCAGAGAGGTGGTGGAGGCCCCATCCCTGGAAACATTCAAGGCCAGGTTGGACGGGGCTCTGAGCAACCTGATCTAGTTAGCGGTGTCCCTGCTCCTGCGGGGGGGTTGGACTAGATGACCTCTAAGGGTCCCTTCCAACCCAAAACATTCTATGATTCTATGATCATGTGAAGGCATCCAAGCCAGCAGTAATTACTCCAGTAATTTTTTGATCTCTAATCTGCAAGCTGCAGCACAGCTAACAGCAAAATTGTATTTTAACCTGTTGCATTCCAAAGGTCTTTCCCGTCCAGAGGAAAACCAGAGATTTGCTGTAAATAATTGTACTACTGGATACAGCCGTTAAAGAATGAGAACTACAAACTACTATACAATACTGGAAACAACCCCTTCTATTATTTCTAGAAGAAACACCAATGACTGAAGACAAAGGAGAAAAAAGCTTCATAATTCATTTTAATATGTAACTGGAAACAGCCAATTGAATTAAATAGGAGCTTGAAGTTAGGGCCAATACAGAACATTCTCAAAGAGTTCGTATGGAAAACGCTGAACAGATAAAATTGAACAACTTTAGGAAAATGTACTAATTTTCTCAAAATATGACAAAAACACCAGAGCCCTTCATTTCAACTTTGAAGTTTTCTTTTTTCTTGTATAACCTGGTTGAAATGACAATATAATTTATTCAACCTTTCCAATAGCTTTTTTTCCTTTCCAGAATTTTTATTCCATGGAAAAGTACATTCTGACTCACAGTGAAAAGACATTTTTGAATATCAAATTTTCCCAAGAAATGTAAACTGCATTTTAATCAATAGCACTGGTAAAGAAATAGAAAAGGTTTTTGCACTGAATAGCTTAAATGAATGTCAGATACTGACAACATAAGCAAAAGCACTTAACAGTCAAGTTTTTAGAAAAATAACTTTTTCAAATAAGAGAAATCTTGCCGAATAAGACAGTCTGGGTTTGCAATCTTTTGTTTAAATGCAAAAGCAATCTACTCTCTAGATCCCTGCTAATAACAACATTTAACTGTGAATCATATACAATGTGTTTCAAGATAGAGTTTCTGTCACTGAGCTTCAGTGATTTATTTCTGCACTTGCCACAGGGATCTAGGCTCAAGACCCAGATGCAGCAAAACGCGATAGATCAGAGCATGTCATAACCTTACCAAGTAACACATTAATCCAAAATAGGGTGGGGTAATAAAAGATTCCTGTCCAGCCAGAATCTGGGAGCAGAAAGTTCAGAAGCTGTGAATGTCCACAGCTTCTCCTGCACCTTATGAAAACCAACAGAAAGATGATAAAAGCTTTGCTTGATGAGGGGAACAGAAATGTAGTGATGAGGAATATAATCTGCAGGAACTAAATGGTCCCGACTCTGCCTTTTAGCATGTTCATGTCCAAGATGAAAAAACAGACATTCACCAGCTCTGGATTATAGTCTTTTCCCTTCTTGACAGTGAGAAACTAGTGCTGGAGCAAAACGTGGGGGTGCAAGGGAAACTGGGAACAGCAGACAATAGCGAGAAGAACTGGCAAGGCAACTCTTGCAAGGACTGATGCTTATCTGTATCACAGCACTAGATGGGCAGTTGTGTCACACCACTGCGCTGCACACTTTATTGATATGGGAAATAACACACATCAGATACCACTTGCAGTATTAACTGAAAAGTACAAAGAGAAAGAAAACCCCTCCAGCAAAGCTCAATAAATCCACCAGAATTCAGTACATGAGAGACAGACACAGAGAAATACCTCAATGAACAAGCTGTAATTAACCTTCTCAAGAGCGAGACTACAATTTACTTTCAGTTTAGCATTTCCAAGGTGAATGGATGGTTTGCAAGGCTCTCCACAGGATATGAAGTTTTCCCTTCACATGGCACTTTCTCTCAGTGACAACTGTGCATGAGCTATTACCATCCAATCACACTTTTGGTCAGCCACACTCAAGTGAAAAAGCATGTGTTTTCACACACAAAAAGCCAGCAGCACTTTTTAAGGTGAGACCTTCTTAGTCTCAGCTGCAGCCAGGCTAGAAATTAATGGCAATTGCAAGATCCCTCTCTTACCCCCCAAAAGCAGTCTGCCCTGAAGATCAGCACACACACAGGGGCAGCAACTATACCATCTGCTAGCAAAGTCCTTACACAAGCTAGAAATAGAAAACCTTGGGAGTGCGGTGCAGTTTAAAGAAACAAGGTTTGGGAAGTACTTTAAGAGCCACCAATGGAAGATGCTTGAAGCATCAACTGCAAAAGTACATTAACATAGATATCTACTACTCCAATTTGAAAGCCTCCTGTCATTGCTGAAATATTTATGGTAACTCTTAATCGCAAATTCCCCTGACTCATTATGTTTCTCCCAGTTCCTGAATTTCTATACTTAGGCTCAGAAATTAATGCAAGCAATCTGAATGCAGACAGTACAGGAAAGCGTTGTGGGCTTTTTGCAGTTGTTGACTCACACTTCTGCCTGTGCTCCCTGCCTTGCCCAAGTAACAATTCAAGAAAAGAATTCACTGTTTTTAAATGGGTCAGCAATATAAAGTTTTTTTCTTGCCTCTCAATCTAAAAAGGAGATATCTAAAGTCACCAGCTGGAATCAAGACTTACCTCACAGATCATTTTCTGAACGAAGATAAGTACAAAAAATTCTTTTTAATCCAAAATTCCGTATTTTTCAGCAGACTTCAATATCCAGCCCTCACAAGTTCTGCCACTGAAAATAAAATCCAAGAACAACTTTTGTACTTGATCCCTTTCCTTTGTTTCCTATGAACTGCAGCATGTTAGCGCCCTCTGAAAAATCAAAGAATTGCTTTCCCAGGTGATATGAAAGGCTCTTAACCATTTCCTGCCTGTGCCAGCAAGACTCCTCCCAACTTCTCTCCACTGTAATTCAAGCAATAAGGCACTAAAATAAGAGAAGCCCATGAATCTCAACGTGGATATCTGCAAGAACTGATAACAAACTTCCAAATAACTCCTTTGATGGTATTTGATCAAACTATTTCAAGTGTCTCCAGCCACACAAAGAGTAGCCTGTTCTCACCATACCCAGCCACCTTAAAAAGGGAAGCTGCACAGTCCTGTCCTAAGTAAATACGATTCCCTACCTGCCCTCTTCCTGTGGTGAAAGATGATGGGACAATAATGCCTAAAGAGAACAAGCCTGAAAAGTGGGAAGCAGCTAAAATACTTGCCAGAAGAAAAAGATAAATGAACACATTTAAATAAAAAAGGGATGGCCTCAGCCTGAAGTCACAGGAACAGACCACAGCCTCCATGAGCTGCCAGGAGCATGTTACCTCAAAGGCAATGGCAAAGTCAAGACTTTTTTGCCATTAATTAGTTTGCAAGGTTGCTTTTTTTTCCAACCCTCCATTTTAAATACAGATTTACAGAAACTGAATTTCTACCAGGATACGGATAAGCAAGGACAACAGGCCAGCTCTCACTTCAAACACATTACAATTACTCCAGATTTACACAGAAAACCTTCAAGATTTGGCTCATGTATGTAACAGCAGGTAGAAGAGGACAAAATCACTGCCTGTGCGAACAGATCTCATGCCATATAGCCACAAAAAGAGACTGGGCTGACAGTCAGCTTCCTCCCCTGAAATTCAGAGCATAAAATGGCAGCTCAGCTCTCACACCTCTGCCTCCTCACCTCCTTCCAGCACCTCCAGGCTGAGGCCTGCTGCAGATTGCATCCAGCCCTGCAGCACAACACATTGCTGCTTAACATGCCACCCAAATCAGTTATTTAGACCAAAAAGCAGGCCAGATTCAGTTGTGTGAGCCCATAGGGACCAGAGATAGGGCAGGTCTCCCCACAAACAGCAGCTCCCTGAGGAAACAAGGGCCCAGGCCCCACTCCCCCGGCTGCAGGCCCAGGCAGGGCCCCCTGCCCTTCTCATCCTAGGTGAGGAAGAAAACCTCCTTTCTAGCAGCTTTAGGTTCTCACCGCCCTGAGGCAGCCTACGGGGGAGCACACAGAGAGCACCCCCTTCTCAGGGAGTGGGGGGGAGGGTGCCTGCGCGGCTTCGGCTCCGCCCCTTCCGGCGCCGTTTCTTTAAGGCCCCTGAGGCGCGGCGGCGGGAGCGGTGGTGGTGAGAGGGGGGTGAGGGTCTTGGGGTGGTGGCGTCTGGGTGTGGGGCCCTCCCGGGGCTGGAGCTGCTCTCCGGGCGGTGGCTGAGCCTTAGCGCTTGCGGACCAGAGCCTCCTCTCAGCCCTGCTGGCAGGGAGGTTGCTCAGGCTGGGCCTGGTGTGGAGGGCTGTGGAGAGCGGGGGTGGGGGGGAAGGCTCCAGGTTTGCTTGAACTTCCTCTTTTTATCCTCTTCTTCTGTGTGAGATACACCCAGCCCAGCTGTCTGGCTCCTGTCTTCCTGGTAGCTTCCTTGTGGTTTGTGGGTGTTGCTGATTTTGTCCACGTTTACCTCTCCCCAGCCTGGTCACTGGGTGGTTGGTGGTGGTTGGCCCTGTTTTACAGAAGGAGGGCATCTCACCCTGCCTCCCTCCTCCAGCCCTATGGCTCACACAGCTGAGCCAAGGATGATGAAAGCAGCCCTGAGCATTGCTGCTTGAACTTTTCATCCTATGGGTGCATCTCTGTATCCCTAAACTTTTCTTTTGATGTGTTGCAACATCAAAGCAAGTATGATTTAGTGTTAGAAAATGGATAGATGGAGAATTAATTCAACAGGTGTCAGCTGTGCTTAGTCTTACATAGCTGGGTGGGAGAGAAAAAATCATTTGTCATCATCAGTTTTAATATTGTTTCAAGTCTTCTGTGCTTAGCTATCTATTTTGCTCATGATGCTTGCAAAGATGATATAGAAAGGTCTCCCTATTTAAACAAAACAAACAGGGTAATAGTTCTTTCCTGTAAGCAATTACATTCTAAAAAGTGATTACACTTACTGTCAGTCAGACAACTCTCAAATCTATGTCACTTATGCTTTGAGAAATTCACTACCTTTCTTAGGTTTCATCAGCTCAACTAATAATGAGATACACAGAAGGAAATTACTCTCTGACCAGAAGTTCTAGGCTTTTCTCTGTTTGGGTTAATGTGGGTCATATACAGACCTGATTAACTATTCTGGCCAAAACAGCTGCTGGCATATGAGTTAAGTTCATAATAATTTCCACAGCCTCACATTCCTATGAGACAACTGGCATGGTTCAAAGGAATTTGTGGACCTTGTGGGATAAGGTCTCATTCTCACACTTGTGTCCATTTTCACTGCCATCCTGAAGTAACTTCCCCTGATAATGGGGACATGTTCATACCCTTTCTTACATTGTAAAACAAGGTTGAGGTAGTGTGATATATGGAGTTTTGAATGGCTTGCATCTACCCTGTCTTTCCAACAAAATGATGTAATTAAGTCTGAAATGGAAATCATTATTTTGGTATTGATCAGAAACTGGTTATGGCTTTTTTTTTGTTAAAATAACATGTCTGCTTGCTTGTTGCCAGGCACTGGATGACCGTAACTAAACAATGTCTGTACCACGTGGAGCTGTCCATGCAAAATGGATAGCGCCAAAGTGCGAGTGACAAGGCTTGTGCTAGATCCTTACTTACTGAAGGTAAAAGCTGGTTAACAACTTGTCTTGCATGGTAATTTTTGTACTGGGTGGAGGAATGTTTTATTGATTTGATTCTTAGAAGTTTTGATAGTTCTTTACAATGCAAACTCCTTAAGGAACTTGTGTAATGATTTGGCAAATGATGAAAAGCAGTGTGTGGGGAGGATACTTCCACTCAGAATATCTGCTAAATGTATTTCTTTGAAGTGCTTTGTTAATGCACTTCATTTCACCTCAGTTGAGAAGGTAAGTTTTTGGTTTTTCACACTCAGATTTAATTTTTCATATTGATTTGGAGTATGCTTTGGAAACTTGAGGTTGTATTAGTCATTTCTGCAATAGCTTCTGAAGCAGTTTTTCTGTATGCATAATTGTAAACATATTTAACATGTGAATCTGTACTGTGATGTGCTGTATGAGCTCTGTATTTATTGCTTCTTGCCAATGCATTTCAAACATGGAGGTTAAAATGAGTATTTTTTCCATTTTTAGATAGGAAACTGTGGTATATGTAGGTGGAATAACGTGCCTTTGGTGACCAGAAGGTTAGGGATTGAGTCAGGATTAGATAGTGGGTCTTGTATTTTATCCAGTAGAAGAATCTGTTAGAATCTTTCTTCAAAGAAAGGTTCTGAATTCTGCCATTCCAATAAGTATTGAATTTTTAAATGAAAAAAATGAATTGAGCAAGAAAACTCTCAAATAAACATCAAAATACTGATTTCAGGGCTCATGAACTTTAGACATATCAGGATGAATAAGAATTACTATCAGTTCTTGAAGTGTGAATGGCACAGGGAAGTCATTCAGCTTGGAAGAGCCAAGGCAGCTGTCTTGCTGAAGCAGTGCTGATGTGAAGCATCCTAAGGGGAGGAGAGGCAGAACTAGAGAGCAGAGAGGCTGGGGAAAGTGGTGATGCAGGGAATCTGTTAAGTGGAGGAGAGCTTGCTGTTTTTACCTGCATCTGCATGTTCACTATGAACAGCTTTTTGTACTTGGCTTTTTCTTCCACATCTCCTTTTCTCCAGGCTCTGCTGGCAATAACATCCTGACCAGAGAGATTGTCAGGGAAGGGTAGTGCTGTGCTTTCTTTGGAAAAACAGTAGAGTGCGCAGTTGTGTTTCTCTTCGTAATCCAAATGGAATCTCATTAAGAAAAATACATGAGACTTTACTTCTTTGTGAAATATAGTTTGTTTTATATTAACAATATATTTGCTAATTGCTTAATTTTGACATCTAATGCCAAGGTTTCCTTTCTTCCTTCTACAGTTCTTTAACAAACGAAAAACCTATTTTGCCCATGATCCATTGCAGCAGTGTGTTGTTGGAGACATTGTTCTTCTGAAAGCTTTGCCTGAGCGGAGGAGCAAACATGTGAAACACGAACTGGCTGAAATTGTTTTCAAGGTTGGAAATGTCATAGATCCAATAACAGGGAAGCCCTGTGCAGGAACCAGATTCCTTGAAAATCTGTCAGATTCGGAAAATCTGACAGAGGCAGATACTACCTATCTAAGTGAAAAACTTCAGGAACTTAAAGTTTGTTCAACAGACAAATAGTGGAGGAAAATATTTATACAAGGGAGCTTTTCAGCTTGTCTCTGTCAGGGATGTTTGGGGGCCCACTGTTTTATGTTAAATGTTTCAGTGAAATCTGTAGTCAAAATAAGTAGTAAACATAGTTGCTTACAAGAACAGATGTTACAGATTGATAGGCACCTGAAATCTTTAAATGAAAATGTAGAGAAAATGAGTTTAGTGTTAATACTTTATTTTGTTGCATGTAGTTTTGCCCCAAGCCTTGACAGTTTCAGAAGCGAACTGCTCACTTGAAATGACTCTTCCATATTGAGAAAGTCAAGAATGTGATTGTATAATGTATAAGTTTGCTGGGAGGGTCATTATATTATTTGATTGTTCTGTATTTCAGACAGTCTGTGGTTTGTAGGATTACCTAACACCATGCTATTAAACCTTTTGAAAGGAAGTTTAGAATTTTAAAACCAGCTACCTGCATGTGTCCTTATTTCCTCTTACAGTCATTCATACCACATTGCAGTATCTTCTGACTTGCAAAATCTTGAAACACAAAAACACAGCCACTTGCCTTTATAATGGCAGTAAGGTGAGAATAAAAACTTTGGGTAGCTTAGCATGGTTGCCTTTGTAACCTGTCCAAAGGAAGTATTTAGTTCTGGGAGAGGTGGATCTCTTTGAACTGCCAGCAGGAAATAGCTGATGAGAACAGAAAGCAAAACAAGATGGTTTGATTTAGTCTCACCAAAAAAGCTAATAAAACAACACATTTTGGAAGAGATACAGGTTCTGATTTTCTGTGTGCCATAGCAGGTAATGATTAAAGATGACTGCCCAGCTACAGCTCTGGGATCTTGTGTCCTGTCTTCCAGGATGTAAAGCAAACCAAGAGCATGCAGCTGTTACAGCAGCCTTGTGATGCTGACTTTTAATTCAGCTCTAAAAGGGCTTCTGCCTCAAAACCCAGCATTCGTGGGGACAGCATTCCATGTCCCTGTATGGAGGGGTGAGCAGTATATTAAAGCTATGAGAAATCCTTTTTTGAAGTGTCTACCTAGTCATTGGTTTTTGTTTAAGATCAGAAACTAAACAAAGTGTATCTGAACAGACTTCCTCTGACTAAAATATTTTACTTGAAGAAACTGAGCCAGCTTATGCTAGTGAGCTGTCAGTTGTGTTCTCTTGCATTGTCAGGGTGGTGTAAATCATTTGCTCTTTAACTTCCTTCACCTGCACAAAACCAAGTTTCAGCTGCCTGCAAACTGCTAACAAGGTCCAGTTGAACTCAGCAAATTATTTGGGACAGGAAGAATGAGAAGCTTAAATTTTCTTCAGTGCTTCAAACCACTCTTTGGAATGCTAGTCCTCAAACACTGTCCTGTGTGTCAGATCAATAAGCTGGGATGTCAAGATGCCTTGATTCAAATGTCTCCATGTAAATCAATAATGTGAATGTGGTCTCTGACTTTGAAGAAGTGTCTTAAACATATGGCTGTAGGTTATTCTTGTTGGTATGTTTGCTGAAGTGGTTTAGCTTTATGTAAATTACTCAGTAACTGTAGCTGGCTGATTAGGGCCCTCATGGAAGTGGAAGGAGACCTGGGCTCTCCTGCTCGAGTGAATGTAAAATGTGAAACTCCATCCCTAGCAGAGATTGAGAGAAATCAGACCCAGGCCAGAACATGGCCCTGGGCTGTAGGAAATACACTGAGGTTGTATCCAAGCAGGCAATAAAGGAACTTGACCCTCAGTACATGGGATATGAGTGTTCCAATAACTAGACATACAATGTTTATGAGAAATAGTTTCCTGTTTCATTAATGAGTTGCATCTACAGCTAATTGGGGAAGTAAATCTTCTTTCCCTTTATCTCCTGTGATTTTTCTTGAGTAGCTGTGAAAATGTCATATGTTTTTTCTAAGATTGATTCGTCACAGAAGGTTGTCAGGTTTTTTTCAGTTTACAGGTTGGCTCCCGGAGGGTTGCTCGAGAACTCATCGTGCTGTCAGATCAAAATGTGATTAAATGGACATAGCCTGAGGTGTCGCTTGTTTTTAAAAGCATGATGGCAATTGTAGGTTAAACTGGTTTCTACAGAGGCGCCACAAACATTGTACTTTGCTGTTGTTCAGGCACATTGCACGTGCTAGCCTCTGGCTTGCTCTCAGAGTGCTGATGTAAAGATCATAAAATGGCAATGGAGACGGCGCAGTGACATCATACAAACTTCGTGCTGGGCAGAAGGACAAGGCTTGCTCATTAACTTGTGTTTTATGTTTCTTGGCTGGTTGCTTTTAGAACTGGCCTTTACCTATTAGCCCAATTATAAGTTTATTCTTAATTTTCAGTCATTTAAGGATTTGATGCCAGCGTACGCCACCAGTTTAGCCCAATGAAATACTCCTGTAGCTGGAACGGTGTGGAGAAAAGATTTCAACTACGTGTGGGTGACAAATTTATTTCGGGAAGGAGACACGAGTTTTTGCACGTGATTCAAAGAACGTTTGGGAGGCTGGCTGACTGTTTTTCGGGCCAGACCCGATCCCGGTCCTGGGGTCGTCCCAGAGCGGGCAGGAGGTGGGTGCTGGGCCGGGGG